AAAATGCTGTATCCTGATACCTTAAGCAGGTGAAAGACTATCTCAGTTGATTAATCAATCAATCATAGGCTTTAGACTGGGTGCAAAAATATCCTTTATCACCTGGAGTGAAATGGAACAGGAAAAATGTTTAAATCGATTGAGGGTCACTCTAATGCTCTATGGGGTCTGTATGAAATCAGGAAGCTTTGAGTGAATAGCAATCCAGGAAGAATGTTCCAGCCTAACCCCAAGAATGGTGGGGAAGAGGGCACCTCCATTGCAGCCTCAGCTGCATCTCTGGATCAGCTAGTGCCAGTGTCTACATCAGGAGCCAAGGACAGATCGGATAAACAATGAAAACAGATTCAAGGCTCTACAAAGAGCCTAGATGAAAAGCTCTACCATATCTAAAGGGAACATAATGATAACTCCAGCAAAAGGACTTCCAAGAACTACAAATTACTCCTTTGCCCATGGGCTCTTTACGCTTGGGCTCATTTTCCCATGGTCTTTGTAGGTACTCAAGGCAGAGTGTCAGACTTTTGCAGAGAATGTTTTATATTACCTGTTCTTTTATACCATCTTAGATTATGAGCCTTTCTAAAAATCAATTAAGTGTGACTAATTCATATGAATTTACAATCATGGAGGAGGCATACTAGCAAAAGCTTGTGAACTATATAGTTCAAGAAAACTACATCCCGCACTTTCAGGGCTACCTCTAATCTCTGAGTGGAGACATAATTAACTACCTTCTAAGCACCTAACCTGCCATGCAAGTGAGGATTTTGGGAGGGTCCAGAGTTTAAAAGGGATACACTGAAAGTGCTAAATTTCAGCTTTTAGTTCATCTGCTGCAATTCAGCTTTAGGATCCACTCTTTGGATAGAAGGGGAAGGAAGGGAGCAATGCAGTGAAGAAAGGGAAAATGGACTTCCAGATGCCATTCAGGCCTAGGAATGAAGGTATCTTGTTGCAATGAAAAAAGCAGTAACGCTAGAATAAGAGGACCTAAATTCAAATCCCACCTCAGGTTCATTACCTATATGAACTTGGGCATGTCACATAATTTCTCAGGACCTCAGTTTCCCCATCCATAAAACGAGGTTTCTGAGGCCCCTTCCAGGTCTAAATCTGTGATACAATGTAATTTTCTTTTCTGTATGCCCTAAGAAGCTCATAATCTAGGATGTTTGGTGACGTGTTGTCTGAGGAAGTCTGCTAATGTTCTGTTAATAGAAGAGCATATGGGTTTGTTTTGGAAGTCAAGTTTATATCTTAAGATTTATTGACATAGTCTGATGTTTTCCAGGCTTTGCCCCATTCCCTAGAGCAACAACATGACTATTTCCATTTATCACAGCAGGGCCCAGGCAAACCCCTATTTCTAAATACCTGACTTATGAACCACCAGAAGATATGAATAGCTGTGACTGTCTGCCTTATACCCCTAGGACTCCTTAGGGAAACTGTCACTTCAAGTGGATCCTACAATTCTTATTACTTTTTATTCTTTCTTCCAGCCAGAAAACCTAGCCCCCAGTAATTTACTGTCACTATGGTGCCGCAGGTTCCCTTCCTCTTCCAGAGCTTACACCCAGGCAAGAGCCCCCAGTTCCCTTCTAGATGCCCAGTCTGTCTCCCCCTAGACCCTGGGAGACCCCAGTCCCTCCTTTCCCTCTAGTCCCAAAAGCCTTTCCTCCTACCTCAGATTTCCATATGAGTAGTCATCAAAAGAGTCCTTGTAGCTGGTGTTAAGAATAAAGAAAATGTGCTTTTGATAGTAGTGGTTGGACTTGTGAAACCTTTTTCACATGGAAGCAATGTCTCCAAGGGTGGCCAAGTTTACAATCACCTTCTGAGCTAAGTATGTCTTTGTGGGCTAGCCTGGGAATATAGCCCCTATTTATAACTTTATTTCTACAGGAAGATATGTTTGAACTTCCAAACGGTTGACAAACTGGAGATTATAGATACAGAGCTAAAGCAATTGGCATTACTGAAAGTTATGAAACAGGTTAATTCCAAAGACAGGGAACTAACTTATCTCTTCATTTCATGGTATATTATATTGACTGTTACAGAGGGGAACTTCTAAAATATTTTAATTAGTTAATTAAAATATTTAAATTAAGAAGTTAAATATTTAAAATGAAAATTATTTAATTGACAAATATGAATCATTTGAGATAATGTAGTATGTTAAAGTGAAAAGATTACAGGACTTGCAGTCAGAGTACACTGGGTTTACATTTTGGCCTTGCCATTTACTCCCTTTGTAACCTAACCCTCCTGGGCTTCAGTTTCTACATCCATGAAATGAAGAGTTTATACTAAGTGGGTTCTGAAATTCTATGATCCTATAACAACATATAAACTAACAAAACAGTAATGATAATAAATAATGTACCCTGTGCCTGCTTCCAGACTTGGCTCCAGCTATCTATGCATAGGTTTTGTTGTTGTTTATGTGGTCATAATAATTACTGATGTTGACATAGCACTATAAAGTTTGTCTGCAAAATTAGGTAATTGGACTACAGAGGTTCTGAAGTCCCTTTTAGCTCTAGATTTATAAACCCATGATCTCTCAGATCTTACCACGTTTTAACAATGAAATAATTTGAAAATCCCAGGGAAGAAAAGGTTTCAAGTTATGAGGATAACTTAACTTATTGGTACTTGGATCTATCACAGAAAGAAACAAAATTGTAATCAAGTCAAAAGCTAATTCAGGCTTATATGATTTTATCTGGAGTTTTGGTCTATATTCTTTGTTTTACTTAAAGTCATTGAAGTTGTTTTTGTTCAGTTATTTTCATTCATGTCTGACTCTTTGTGACCTCATTTTCTTGGCAAAGTTTAGGGAATAGTTTACCATTTCCTTCTTCAGCTCATTTTACAGATGAGGAAAGCGAGGCAACCAGGGTTAAGTGACTTGCCCAGGGACATACAGCTAGTAAGTGTCTGAGGCCAGATTTGAACTCAAGAAGATGAGTATTCCTGAATCTAGGCCCAATACTTTATCTACTGTACCACCTAGCTACCCTAGTCATCGAAGTTACCTGATCTTAATTCTAATTCGGCCTCAGAAACTTATTATCTGTATGACACTGGGAAAGTCATTTAATCTCTCTCAGCCTCAGTTTCATCTGTAAGGTGACAGGAAACCACTGGAGTAAATTGAATAGAAGGATGATATATTTGGACCTGCACTTTACGAAAATCATTTTAGTGGCTGAATAGAGGATCAATTAGAACACCCTAGAGACCGATGATAGTGAACCTTTCCATAGTGAGATGGTGAGATCATTTTCTCCACAGTCTCTATTGCCTCCAGGAGCAAATATGAAATGCTTTCTTTGGTGTTCAAAGCCCTTTATAACCTAGCCCCCTCCTATCTTTCCAGTCTTCTTATACCTCAGTCAATTCAGTGACACCGGTCTCCTGGCTGTTTCAAGTACAAGGCACTCCCTCTCTTCACTCCAGGCATTCTCTCTGGCTATTCCTGATACCTAAAACAGGTTCCCTTTTCCATTCTGACTACTGACCTCCCTGGCTTCCTTTAAGTCCCAGCTTCTACAGGAAATCTTCCCCAATCTCTCTTGATTGCAGTGCTTTCTCTTTGTTAATTATTGCTTATCTTATGCTGTTTATAGTTTGTTTTGTATATATTCATTGCATGTTGTCCTTGCCATTGAATTGTAAACTCCTTGACTGTCCTTTGCTTCCTTTTGTATCTCCAGTGCTTAGCACAGTGTCTGGCACGTAGTAGGTAAATGTTTATTAAATGATTGATTAATACTATCTACTCTATCTAGCTTGATGGATATAGATAGGCCATTTTCTCCTTCCCCTAACCTTCTTTGGTTTAAATCCCTTTTGGTTAGATTTGTAGGACACTAGCAAATACAGTCTCCATTCCAATTTTTGTCCTTTTGATCTTCAGTCTTTTGCCTAAAACTTTGTAGTGTTTGATAATATTTTCAATATCCTGTGAGTCAAAAATGAATGGACAGATAGATGAATAGATGAATGGATGGATGAACAGATGGGTAGATAGATGAGAAGATGGATGTTGAGCCACTGACCACATTTTGTTAATTATTTGCTATCCATAATTAACAAAATGATTATTAATTACCCAGAAATCTCTCAGACTTTTCATTCATCACCGTATATTTCTTTTGTGTCTTCTGAAGTACATGGCACTATGGAAAGGATCTGAGTTTGAATTCAAGCTCCTATGCATATTAGTTGTTTGACTACAGACAAGTTATTTAGCCTCATTGGACTTTAGTTTCATTATCTGTAAAGTCGATCTAATACTTGTATAAAGACCAATGGTCTATACAAGGGATGGAGTACTCTTTTTCACTAAGGAACTCTATTTCTGGGCTAAGGTTCAGTCCTGAGGGAACCTGGCTCCATAAAGGGGAGTTAGGCTCTTCTCACACTCTCTGGCTTGTAATGTATCCCACGTGCCAGATTCTCATGAAAATCTCTTGAAAGTTTGGGTTTTGTTCATGTCTAGTGTCTCCCCCAAAAGTCTCTCCTAGAAAGTTACTTAATGTATAATGTAGATCAATTATAGGGTACCTATTTGTTTACTATGAAAGAAATGCTCAGGACCTTAAATGTACATTGACAAATACTTAAAACATGATACAGTAACCCATAACTCCTATCATACTGATGTATAATCTCTTGGGGCAGCTAGGTGGCTCCATGGATAGAGTGTTGACCTTGGAGTCAAAAAAACCAGAGTTCAAATATGGCCTCAGACACTTATTAGTTGGGTGACCCTGGCCAAGTCACTTAATCATATTTTCCTTAATTTCTCATCTGTGAAATGAGTGGAGAAGGAAATGGCAAACAACTCCAGTATTTTAGCCAAGAAAACTCCAAATGGGGTCATGAAGAGTTGGATATGACTGAAAAACAACTGAACATAGTCTCTTAGGAGATTGTCAGACAAATATTAAAACATGACCTTCAACTACAGAATAGGTACTCACCTTCTCACCCTCTCTGAGTAGCTTACTCAAGGTCCAAGTGCTTTGGCAAGCCAAAACATGGCTTAGGCTCATCATCCTGGTAGTGGTCACCTTCTCTCAGTTGTTTCAGATGTCACTTCCTGCTGGGCAACCATGTGATTGCCTTTTTTTAATATATGCAAATATTTACTTTGTTCTAGCCTTGAGTGAAGAGGAAGAAAACTAGGCAGTGAGAGCAGTAGCTATGCCATCATGCTGAAATATCCCTTAATAAAAACAAACCTCATTAAATTCAGTGGCAATAAGAAAAAAGATACAAAAAGAATAGGCTGATTAAAACATTTGTGATTCTAGTGCCACACCTAGCAGATATGAGACAGACAATGACGTTCAAGGAAAAGACCAAGGATCCTGCCACAGGCTGCCATCATTGGCTGAGCAAACTGAAGTGTGTTTAGGGCTCTTGGATTATACCCAGGGTGGGGAATGCCTCCTAGATCATGGTTGGGTTCAACTCCATGAAGAAGACACAGAAGGGGAAAAGGCCACAGCATAGGGGCCAAAGTACTAGAATGCACCAAAAGATTTGCTGTTCACTCCTCCTCCCTGGGAGGTGACACTCTCTATCCAAGAGGAACAAAGAAGGGGAAGGGGGCAAGGTACAAAACCCAGAAGAAGGCTGAGGTCCCTATGCCTGTGGCATGCTCAGAAGTTCCATACCAGCCAGTGGGTTAGGCCTTCTTTGGGATTCCACCAACATAACCTCTCTGATAAGGAAACCAATATGTTTAAGACACCATTGGCTTCTTTTCCCCAAGGTCAGTGGCTAGAGGGTAGCATCATGGAGAGCCACCTTGCTCCATGTTGACCTCAAGGGAATGTTTCCCTCCAGGAAACATCCTGTTGGTATCCTGCTCTTTCCCTCAGGAGTTGGACAGGGCCCTGTCAGATTCTCTTCCAACTATTCACCAGCCCCAAGGAAGGCACAATACAAAGGCCTGGCAGCAGCAGCAGCAGGCAGGCAGATAGACACCATGCAATTCTTCAAATTTAAATTAAAAATCATAAAGACAATAAAAATAATAACCTTATTCCTTTCTCCTATAACCCAGCAATTATACATATTCTCCCTTGCCCACCCAGCTTACCCTTCTTTTGTTCTTGTTGTCTTTCAGCCATTTCAGTTGTGTCTGGTGCTTCATGACCCCATTTGGGGTTTTCTCAGCAAAGATATTGAAATGGTTTGCCATTTCCTTCTCTAGCTCATTTTACAGATGAGGTAACTGAGGCAAACAGTGTTAAGTGACTTGCCCAGAGTCACACAGCTAGCGTCTGAGGTCAGATTTGAGTTCAGGAAGATAAGTCTTCCTGACTCCAGACCCTGCGCTCTATGTAGTATACCACCTAGCTGTCCATCACCTTCCCTTTAACATCATGTGAAAAAGAAACAGTACTTTGCAGACCCGGCCAAACTGCCTCTGGGGCAGAGCATTAGGACATAGAGAGAGTTGGCTCTGATTTTTGTAATCTAGCCACTGCTCAGATTCTTACAATCTAGCCAATAGCTCACTAATGTTCAGACTCCTTAAGAGTCTGCCCAATATGACGGATGTTCTAATAAACCTTGTCTTTAGCTGAAAGAAGGCTTGGGTGGAATTCTTTTGGGCAGGACCTACACATAGTGATCTTGGGGTCCCAGCACCCCTAAACCTCTAGACCTCATCATATGGTTCCCTGCCCAGGGAATAACTGCCTAATACCAAGCTGTTCACCAGCCATGACTGGAAGACTACAGGCCATTCACCTATGGTTGGTAGCAAACAGTGGGTACCAGCCAATGTTCCCCCATCATTCCCTGCATGCAGCCTGTGTTCAATTCCAGTCAACTTCCTCTTAGGGACCCCCTTGAGGCAGGGACAGCTCTATGTCCATTGTCAACAGGAAGCACTTTCAGAAGCCAAGATCTTGGCTCCTTACCCCAAAAGAATTTGGGTCCCATTTGTTTGAGGGGGGAATGATGGGGTTGGGATCTGGACCCCAGAAAGGAAAAACCCTGGACTTTCCCACATGGCCAAATCTCTGGCATTTGCCTGAGGCTATAATCTCATTAACTGGCCTTTCATTGTGTCTATACCCAATCTCTCAATTCTCTGTTACCCTTAACCTAGTTTAGGCCTCCATTGTCTTTCCCACACTTAACCCTTGCTAGGCTCCATTCTCCCTTGGCCATGTAGCCCAGGTCCCTGGAGTTCTGTTCACCCCAGCTTACCGGCCACTCCCATTTATATCTTCCTTAGACCTCTCCTTTAGTCACCTCAAACTACTTGGCCACACCTAGATCCCTCCCACAGTCTTTCTGTATATAAAGTCCATCTTGTCTCCATTAAGAGGCTCTGATTCTTATAATCTAGCCACTGCTCAGATTCTTATATTCTGGCCAATAGCTCATTGACATTCAGACTCCTTAAGAGTCTACCCAATATGACAGATGTTCTAATAAACCTTGTCTTTGGTTGAAAAAAAAAAGAGAGAGTTGAGGAGGAGGGGAAAAGGAGGAGAGGAGACAGGAATCATTGCTTGACTTTTGAGTCTTCGATTTTCCAAATCATTAGTTCTATGAAAGAACTGGCATCTTCATTTGAATCATGGCCTTCCAGCTCCTTTCAGGAGCTCCCATCCACTTGAACTCATTGCCTCCAAGGCTATAATCACCCATCTTTGGATTACTGTTTGGTCATTTGTGCTCAGAGAAAGAAACACAAAGCAACAGAGTCAGAGAGAGACCTGAGGTCCAGTTTTAGGCTCACCTAGACAAGCATATGTACTCATTGTCACATTCAGGTTCCTCAACACTGCTGCCAGAGATGGAGGAGGCATGGGCTCACACTGCCCTTCCCAGAGCCCACAATGCCAATTCCCCTGCTCCCCTTCCCATCCATTGGAGGCCTGGAGGAGAGTTTAGAGTGCTGACAAGCTTGACAGATGAGAAGAGAGAAAGAAAAATAGTTTTTAAATCTACTGAGTGGGCAGCATTTCCTAGTCAATGCCCAGTCATCTTCAATATAACCCACCCCAGTTCCATTATGAAGTTGTGTAGGCAGAGAGGGTACAGGAGAAGTAACTAGAAGTCCCAAGTTTCATGTGTCTTTTATTAAGGGGCTCACCAGAAAGGATGAGGACACACATTTCACTGGAATGGGACTTCTTCCAGGCATGCTCTCCAGAATGGATGGCCATGGTTATACTTACACTATCTAACAGGGTCATTTTGAAGAAAGCATTTTGTAAGTCTTAAAGCATTTTGTAAAAGAGCTCTTATGAACTTTGATGATTTTTTTCATTTTAATAAATAGAAATTGTTGATAAAGGTTATAGTCACCTGCTAAATCCTTTCAGAGAAGGCCACAGACCAGTTACTCCAGAGTTTGGGATACCCATTAGGAACTTTACTCCCTCCCATCAGCTTTCTCCATTGACCTCCAATAAGGATAAAAAGATCATTTAAATAGGTAATCATTTAGCACATAAAATGAAAGAAAGTATCAAAAAGATACTCCCCCCCCCTTTTTTTAACAAAAAAAATGGCTATTATAAAAGATGATGGATCTTTCCATGTTAGGTCTGGATTCTAATTCCTAGATGGAATTTTGGCCCCTTGTTCTATAAAATGTCTTGCATCATACTGGTTAATGCCCAACTTCCTATAGAATAAGAAGGGAAAGAAGAAACGTTGTTGGGTGTGGGGGGGTGTAGAGAGCATTGCTGGAGCATAATATACCACTAAAATTAGGGAAATCTTCCCTGTTTCTGGCCAGTGTCTTGTACACAAATGCTTATCCAAACCTTTTCCTCTCCCCTCAAACTTCCCATTATCTCCTCCTTCTCTACTCATGGTTCTCTCATTTTAGGACCTTGCCTCATATTTTACTGATATAGTGGGGATAAGCTAGAGAGTCACTCTGAAGTTCAAAGGCCACTTATGATGGGCCATGTGTGCTGGCTCAGTGCTGAAGAACTTGGTGCTTTGAGATAGTGTTGAAATTCTTTGGTACCCCTGATGATAACAGGGGAAGGAGGCTGCTGCAAAGACATTAGGATATTAAACCAGGAAGATCTCACTTAATAAGCTTTAAAAAGAGTGCCTCTGTCATCTAAAGATTTCTCTTTCTTCCATTGATCATGTGAGCCTTTTACATGTGATTTTCATGGTAGGGAGATTTCTACTTTCCCTCCTGCATCCTGGTAGCCATTGTGGCTCATCATATACAGCCAGAATATATACTGCCTAGAAGGGTCTGAATCTGGTCTCTTTACCTTGGCTGCCTTTTTCTGCTTTGTATTTGGCCTTGGGCACAAGTGACTAAACAGCAATTCTGATATGGACTGTTCCAGTCTGGAAGGCAACTTAATGAGTTCAAGAAGTTGGGAGACTCTCTTCTCCCTTTCTTAGCCAACATCCTAGGAAAAAAGCTTTCTATGCTTGTTGTCTCTTCTTCTCTCTTACTTCTTAACCCTTTGTAAGCTGGCTTCTTACCCCATCCCTTACCTGAAAATGCTCTCTCCAAAATTACCATTGATCTCTTAATTGACAATTCTGATTTTTTTTAAACCTCATTCTTTTTGATCTCTCTGCAGTACTTCACACCTTTGTACTATTGACTACTTTTACCACCTAGACACTATCTATTCTCTGAGTTTTCATAATACTGGCCCTTAGTTCTTCTTCTGCTTGTCTGACTCAGTCTCCTTTGATTTATCATTCTCTCTGTCCTGGACCCTCTTCTCTCTCACACTCTTTCACTTGGTGATCACATCAGCTTGTATCAGTTTAATTATCATCTCTCTGCAGATGACTCCCAGATCTAGATATTCAACCGTAGACTCTCTTTTCAGCTCTAGGTACCCAACTGCTTATTGAATGTTTCTGAGTGTCTTATCTAGGCATCATAAAAATCAACACATCCAAAACAATTAATTTTCTTTCATCTTAAATCTACCCTTCTTCCAAACTTACCAATTTCTGTGAAAGGCATTACTATCCTTTCAGTAACCCAGGTCTGTAGCTTTGGGAGGCACTGAGCATTGATGGCACAGTGGATGGATAATGCTGAGCCTAGAGTCAAGAAGACGAGTTCATATTCAATCTCAGATACTACTAGCTATATACCCTTGGGCAAGTCACTTAATCCCTGATTGCCTCAGTTTCCTCAACCATAAAATAGGTTATAATATATGTGTATATATAATATAATATAAAATAATAACACCCACAACCATGGTTGTGTTGAGGATCAAATGAGATAATATTTATTTTAAAAAAAGTGCTTAGCAAAGTGCCTGGTATATTTGTTGTTATTCAGTTGTTTTTCAGTCGTGGTGATTCTTCTTAAGCCCATTGGAGTTCTCTTGGCAAAGAAACTGGAATGGTTTGCCATTTCTTCCTCCAATGGATTAAGGCAAGCAGAGGTTAAGTGGCTTGCCCAGGGCCATACAGCTAGTAAGTGTCTGAGGCTGGATTTAAACTCAGGTGTTTTGAGTCCAGGCCCAGCACTCTATACACCAAGCCACCTAGCTGCCCCCTCACCCCAAATTACTTCATATCTATTTTGCGTATATGTGTGGATAGCATGTTGGTACCTGCTGTCTTAGAGAATAAGCTCCTTATGGACAAGGACTGTTTCATTCCTATCTTTGCATCTCTAGCACATAGCATAGTGGTAGACAGTGCTTAATGCAAGCTTGATTGATTGTGAAGTCATTTTCAAATGATGGTAGCATGATACAGTGAGAAGAAAAATGGAGTTGATTTGGAGTCTGAAGAGCTGAATCCAATTCCAGATTTCTCATTTTCAGTATCTGTCTTGGCCTAGTTAGGCCACTTAACTGTTCAGATCTTCAGTTCCCTTAGATTCAAAACTAAGAAAACGTGGTCCCCCTTAGGCCTCTTCAACCTCCCAAATCCTTCCCTCCTTGGTATATACTTTAATTCTTTAAAATGTGTATCCTTTGAATTTAAGTCGTTTGGAACCTAGTACCTGGTCTCCAGGTGTGAAACTAAAATCACCAAGAACAATGGGTGAGAATTAAAAAGCTGGCCAGATGTGAGTCACCAAACACTCAGGAACCCAGATATTTTTTCATATCCAAGTTATAGGGAAAGAAAAGTAGATGCCTCCCAGAAACATCAACAAGTTTTCAGGGATTATTTGTGAACCTTCATCACTGTCACTGCTGGCTTTAACACACAGATGTTTCTCAAAAAGAAGCTACAGGAAGGTCATTTCCAGTTTCTCTCCGCTCCCTTGGAATCCACAAAGATCCCAGGGCCCGGATCAGCAGCTGGGTAGGAGGAATCTTGGAGGTGTAGCCCAGTCCCTTGATTTTATAGCTGAGGAAAATGAATCCTATAGTGTGGTAATGACTTGCCCGAGTCACAAGCCTTGTAGCTAGCAGAAATGGGACCCCGATGTCAAACCCACTCTTCTATTACATGCACCAGGATATGGAAGTGGAGTCGGAAGCAGGCATTATCAATGAGGCAGCTTGGTGGCACCAAGGATTGAGTGCTAAACCTGGCATCAGGAGGACCTCAGTTCGAATACCCTCTCAGACTTTATGAGCTGTGGAACCCTGGGCAAGTTACTTAACCTCTCTGTGCTTTGTGCTACATAAATGTTATCCATTTAAATTATAAATCATTCATGTCCAACCCCTTCATTTTACCGAAGAGGAAATGGAGGCTTAGAAAAAGGGCACCAAAAGAATGACAGGTAGGATTCCAACTCAGGGCCTAGAACACTCATTCCATTGAGCCTCATTCTGCCCCCCAGTGGGCGTGACAGAGTGGGGCTCGCTGCTTCCGGTTCTCCAGTCTCCCTCTCAGGTTTCCCTTCCAACACCCATATGTGGCATATGCGTCCCCGGCTTCCCGCACCAACCCTCTTCCCTTTCCTTGTTCTCCTTCAGTCCCATGCGCATGCGCACCCTCTTAGCGGGGCGGGGCGGAGCCAGGCGCCTGCGGGCGAGGCTTCTCCTTATCCCCACCTCCAACAGCTGCGGCGACTGAGGGCTGCAGCGTAGCTCCGCCCACTCTGCGCTTTGCTCTTTGAAGGCTTTCTACAGTCTCGAGGAGGGGGAAGTAGGCGGGGCCCTGATGGACGTCAGTGGGAAGACGCTTATGACGTAAGGGGCCGGCAGAGCCCGCCGCTCTGTCCCCTCCCCGCAGACACCCCTTTTCCCCTCCCTCTCCTGTCAGTGTCTGGCGGTGGGCCGGGCTCTGTAATTGTGGCGGCGCGGGCGCCCTGAGCCCCCTCCTCCCCCTCCTCTTTCTTCCTCCTCCTGCCCCTCCTCCAGGCTGCTCACACCCCACAGCGGGCACACACGTTCCGTCCCCTCTGCCGCCGGGCTCACACTCCACTCCAATCCTCGGGCAACATGGCACAGAATCGGGGAGGTGCCGGGGATGGCGAGATGGACAAGTCCAGGAAGGTGGCTCTCATCACCGGCATCACCGGCCAGGTGAGAGTGCTCTCGAGGGGACCCGGGTCGTGGCGGGGAACTATGGGAGCGCAAGCGAGTTCAGTAGGGAGAGGGACCGAAGCGCGAGGAAGATAGCTGCACATGGATGGGTCGGCTGCCCTGGCACTGGCGTGCAGCTTCCAGGAGGTCCCGGAAAGGTGTCAGTGGCCAGAGATAGGTGTGGATGTCTAATGGTGTTACCTGCACTCTGCTTGTCTCCTTTTTCTGTGCGGGGCAGTGTTTTGGAGATGTGTCCTGTGAATGATCCCCTGGGTGTGTGTCCAATCATACCTGCCCACACATTTTGGCACCTGCCACATGCCTCCTTCACCTGGTAGGCACATAGAAGTTCTGGTTGCTCAGGCCAGGGGGAACTCAGGAACCCTGTGCTTTAGACTTTTAGTCGGAGGAGGAGAGAACAGGTGGCCGAGTGTGCATGGGTATGGATGGAGCAGAATCCTTAGTGCCAGCAAACTTTTTTTTTTTTGACATTTGGCATACGAAGAGGATAGTGATGTGCTTACTGAAACGTTTCCTTCTGATTTCCCACATTGGGTCTCCTGAAGGGTGAAAGAACCCAGAAAGCAGTGTTTGCAGAGCAGGTCAGGTTTTTAAATGGTGTTTTTAAAAAATGAATTTCTAAGATGTATTATAACCAATTTTGAAATGGGTTTCACAGATCAGTCTAAAGGTAGGAGAGAATCTTATCTCAGGAAGACCTGAAGTAAATTAATGAAGAGTTATTCATTCACGTGGTGGTTCTGAAGGTTGGAAACCCGTGCCTGAGACAGTTGACTTGTGGCCTTGTGAGGAGGGACAGTAACATGATTGCTTCTTTGCAATGTGACATCAATGTGTTGTCATGCATCTTTCTGAACTTGGTTCGTGACTTGTCAGATATAGTCATTTAGCACCTTCTCAGGTGCTAATGGAAATAATATTGCCAGTATTTTTAAAGAGCTTGTTCTTTTTTCTTCTCCAATAAAAACTTACAGGTTTCTTGTTCTTTTTGCTTGGAGAGCTGCATTATACCCAACAAAAGAAGTCCCTTCACTACCTGAAGGAAAATAGATAGAGCAGGATAGCTATAATGGTGCAGGCATGGAGTAAAGAAGACTTGAGTTCAAAGATGGCCTCAGACACTTACTAGTTGTGTGACCCTAGGCAAGCTACTTAGCTGCTGCCTGACTCAGTTTCCTTTTTTATAAAATGGGCATGATAATAGCACCTACCTGCCGGGGTTGTTGTGAGGACAAAAGAGATAATAATTGTAAAGCACTTAGCTTGGTAAATGCTACTTAAATGTTTATTGTTATTAGAATATGTATCAAGACTTAAGACTAACTCATGGAAAGCAGTGTGGTATAGTGGAGAGATCACTAGACTGAGAATCAGAAGACTCAAATCCTAGGCCCCTGCCCTTTCATTTAACTAGCTACATAACCTACTATAGGCCAGACACTTCAAGTCCATGGGGCTCATTTTCCTTGTCTGTAATATGAAGGGGCTCTAATATAGTTTTGGCTATATGATTCTTTGATTCTATTCTCACACTTTCAGTCCCCAACCTTGCCCTGGATTTTAGACATTTATAGGCCTCATTTTATTAAAGGCATATACTTAAGCATGGCTAATTAGAAAGGCACATAGTGATAAGAATCTAAAACTGATCATCAGAAAATTAACTAGAAATAAAGGAAATAAGGTGAACAGTTGAAGGCCTAGTACACATCCTGTCTTTTTCCTTTTGATTGGCCTCCAGAGATTGTGTTCTTTTTCACAGTTTGTCAGTTGTAGGTTAGATTTGAAACTCAAATGATGCCTTTTAGGAAACCTAGTAAAGTTAGTAGTGATTACTAGTCAGGGAATTAACTGAGATGTTAAAATTTAAAAATAAGGCACTATTAAGCTGAATAGTATGGGGTTAGAAATAGAACTCTTGTTTACAGGTGTGAAAATAATCCTTTGCTGGCTTCTGTGTGGTAGGAGAGTGGCTTTTTCTCTTTCAATTCGTCATGCTTACGGCTAACTAGATTAAGTAATAGAATCATCGGATTCTAAGGACTTTAGAGGTTATCTAGCCCAGCATCCTCATTTACAGATGATGAAACTGAGTCCCAGAAAGTGACTTGTCCAAAGGTCAAATACTAGGATCATGGACTTGAAGTTGGAAGGAATTTTAGAGATCTCTATTCCCATACCTCATTTTATAGACAAGGTAACTAGGAAGGAGGGAAATAAGCATTTATTAATCATTTGCTATGTGCCAGATACTGTGCTAAGCTCTGGCAATACAAATGAAAACAAAAAGACAGAAAGTTCCTGCCCTCAAGGAGCTTACATTCTAATGAGGTAAGACTACATATAAAAGGGAGCTGGGAGTGGGTGCTGAGGAAGTGAATGAAGGCTTGCTTTGGCCCCTCTACAAAATGGAGGCTCCCGTAGGAGCTCAAGAATGGGAGAAGGGGTGGGCCTTGCCAAGGGATATTCTAGAATGAGAATACTGTAGCAGTGCTCCAAAGTGTTGAGGGAAGGCCCAGGATGATACATCGGCAGAAGCATGACTTTGAAGTCTGGAAGTCAGAAACTAGGTCCCAAAGAGTTAATTAACTAGTCTAAAGGGTACACATGTGGTAAACAGTAAACTGGGATTTGAAACCAAGTTCAATGTTCTTACCATTATACAACATTACCCTTTCATCTTGTTACTCCTGTGTTAAACACTTATTGTGACACTATTTCCTTTTGCATTAAGTCTAAACTCTTCCACTTGATTTTTAAGGTCTTCCATAACTTCTGTCCACTTCACATTTTCAATTTTCAATAAGTATAAATTTTATTTCTTACTTTTCCAACATGCATTATGTGCTGTAGAAGGAGGATCTCAATGTTTCCCAAAAGCTTCTGTTTCTCAGCTTTTGATTACATGACAATGCCCTTTCCTTTCTTACAAGAGAAAACAAACCTATCTCCTCCATGAAGTTTTTAGGTGGACTTCTCCTGTCCTCACTGATAACTTCAGACCTTAGCTTGTATCATGGAATTTAGCACTTCATTATGTATTTATTATCTTATGAAGATTTTTTTTGTTTCCTCTATTTGATTCTAAGGTAGGGGCAAGAAAAAGAGTACTCAATAAATACTTGTTGATTACTTTTCTTGGTTCTTCTCTTCTTTCCAAATAGTCTCTATTTTGGTACTTTCCAACCCTAGGGCTAAACCCTGGGGGCTGTGGAACTTTTCAAAGTATATCAGATTGCATAAATAAGCATTCATACTTCTCTTTGAGAGGCAATTTTGTATAGTGATAAGAACTACCAAATCCTATCACTGAGGCTTAATGGTTGTATACTCTTGGACCAGTTAAACCTCAATTTCCTTATTTGTAAAACAGGGATAATAATGCCTATAGTATTTCATAGAATCATTGTGAGGTAATTTCATCAAGTGAGATGACATATATAATGTATTTTGTTAATCTTAGAGCAGATAAACCCCACTTATTTTTAATTAGACTAAACAAATGTCTTACCCATATATGTATAACTACTTTTCAAATATAAGTAGATGCTAATATGATGAATAAAATATAAATTAATTTTAAGTGTTGCTGCATTCATAATAGCTTTTTGTTATCATTGTCTTAATCTATGGGTATTAATAGTATGACTATCAGGTGGGGACTTCACAATTTTTACTTGTTAAAAAGGACTAGAAAAGGTTGGAAACCATAAACAAGGTGTGCCAAGATGGTGCCCTGTTCCAGAAGGAGATCTGCCACTTATTCTGCATAATTTCATAAATTCTAAACCAAGGGTTGCTTGGTAGGTTGCTGCTATAGCTTCCCTCCCAACTTGAGCCCTTTATCATCTGCCTTTTATTAATGCCTAGTTCTGTTCCCCTTTTCTTAGAGAGCCTCTAGTGTATATCCTCAGATTATAGATGAAGCATGGTATGAACTGTATTTATGATCAGAAGGACCTGAATTCAAATCCTCTCATTATGTCTGTGATCTCAGCTGTCACTTAATCTTTTTTGTGAACATTAACTGTTGCATAAATAATAATAATAATAATAATAATAATAATAATATTTATAATAATCTAGCGTTTACATAGTACCTTAAGGTTTGCAAAGTATTTTACAAATATCTTATTTGACCTTCATAACCCTGAGAAGTAGGTGTTAATATTATTCTCATTTTACAGATGAGGAAACTGAGGTAGACAGGTTAAGTCTAGTTAAGCTTGTTAAGTGTCTGAGATTGGATTTTGAACTCAGGTATTCCTGACTCCAGGCCCAATCAGCACTCTATTCACTGTACAGTGGACTAAATGATCCCTAAGACTCTTTCCGGCTCTAAATGATCCTTAAGGTTCTTTCTAGATCTAAATCCATGATCTGATAAAACTGAAGCCCAGAAAGGTTGTGACCTGCCTAAGGTTATGTGACTACTACCTGCTGGCAAAAAGGGAGACTAGAACACAGGTTTTCTGACTTCCAGTTCGGTGTACTTTCCATTTTACCATGGTAACTCTATATGTAATGGTGCCTTCTTTCCTTGCTATTCTTACAGCGAGAGCACTAGTCCATTCCAGGTTACTTGGTTGTACATAATACTATTGAGTATTGTTATAGTGAATTGGCTGTGTGACCCTGGACAGGTCACTGAACTTCCCAGTAGCTGAACAATGGTCTAAGACTATTAATTGCAAATCATAGGATCGTAGATTTAGAACTTGAAGTGACTTTGGAGGTTATTGAGTCCAACTCCCTCATTTTACAGAAAGGAAACTGAGGCACAGAGAAATTGTACAAGGCCCCACACCTAGTTCATTTCAGAAGAGGGGACTGCACTCATGTCTTCCTGACTCTAAATCTGGTGCCTGGTCTGCTGCATGATGTGCATTGGCAGAACAAGTTTCTTCATTTGAAGTTCTCTGTATAAAAAGAAATCACAGATGTGGTCTCAAATCCCCTTCACAGAGAAACTGTATATT